GGGGGTAAGATAGCCACCTCGTGATGATTGCTATTTCACTGTGAAAAACATGTACGATTTATTTTGTAATTTGCCATTTACAAAATGTTTTGTATACACGTACAGCCTCCCACCATACCGCTACTCTTGCTCATCACTTCGATTTCAAGTCGATACAGAGTGCTTGAATATATTCACAATTTTGAGCCTTACACGGGTAAAACAAATGTGCACCTTGAGTTAAACACCATGTAATGTGCAAACTCATAACTTCCACTTGCGCATGCTGGTGTGGAAATTTTGCACACTTGTTTTACCAGTGTAATTGCACTTCTTCCCACAGAAAATTTTCCTGTACCTGGTACTACAATTTTTCACTGTCGTTGACTATGGTACTGATATGATTGTGATTGCCGTAGAAAATTAGATTGTGGGGCAGCTCTGAAGTAGATCAAACTTTGGAGAAACGGCGAAAAAATACTTGTAAAGCGCCACCCCCCTCCCCCTCGGTCTCTCATTACTCGCCAAATCTTTTCTCCCCCTCTCCTAGGCGGGTATCCGTTGGTCCCCGCCAGTGTCTGGGGCGTTCAGCGCCGGCCAGGACATCCGCAGCCAAAGTGAGATCCACTCAGAGAGCGGCCACCGGCGGAAGCGCGCGGCAAGGAGGAAACCCATAAAAAATAATATATTATTCGAAGAAAAAAGGAAAGCAGAAGAGGAACGCGTTGGGGAAAATTAAGGAGAAGTTCTTTATTGCAGTTTCTGCTGGCAATGGATGGCGAAGAAATTGCGATGTGACCTGAAGGCGTTGCGCCTGCGCTGCGCTGGTCCTGGCTGGCTGGCTGCTCAGGCTGGCTGGCTAGCTGACTGCATGCCTGGTGGTGGCTCGGGCTGAACGTTCTTGTTCCGTTGGCTCCGAAAAAACAAGCGTAAATTCACCAGTGCCGGTATCTACGAACGACACTGCCACCCACGGGCCGCTCATTTCGAACCGGCTGTTGACCCTGGCAATCTACCATAATCTTCGGCAATCCCTTGACAATCGGACCCAAAAGTCATGCTTAATTTTCGCCTACATTCAGGGTGTAGTTACAGGCGTTTTTTGCTCCAAAATCAAAATAATTGCCCAGCAATCTGGAAATATTGGCAATCTGATGTATACTTTGCAAGGAGGTTGAGGCCCCCTCGGACTGCCGCGTAACAGTCAAGGCGCGCGAGTTTACTTTACTTGACCGATCTGTTTTTACATCAACGTAGAGCAATATAACAAGCAGATTAAGTGCACTATTTTTCATTTGATTTGACTTTCACAACTTCGAAAAAATAAATTCTGATGATGTGGGAGAAATGGCTTCAAACGCTGGTTTTAAAATTTCGCGCGCTACGGCACTGTTTGCTGTGGTAAGAGCTTTACATTTTCTTTCCCTTTTTTAAACAAGTTATAGGATTGTTGTTTCTTGAGTCTATTTGATAGTATCATAAAGTTTTTGCATCCTTGATACAGAGTGTGGAAAAGTATTTTTGTGCATCACATATTACTGGCGAAGGCTTCATTTTCGTTTCTTTGGTTGGCAATGCCGACGGAGTTCTTATCCAACAGTTGAGCATCAAAATAAGGTTTGAGAGAGAAAGGTGACTCGTAAATAGAGACAGAGATAGTTAACGTAAACATGGCGCTTTCAACGGACCGGTTGAACTTAAATAATCATGAAATATTTCGCAAAATACGGGAACGTTTGCCAAATCAACAATTGAAGACTAAGAACTTAATGGTGTGCAGTGATGACATGTTATTTGTGTGGGATCCAGTGGAAGAATGTCTGCTGACATTGTCTTTGAGGAGTCCGGACCGTGAGGGCTGCCCAGAAGAGCGCGCCTTTCAGGTAAGGTTATGTTTTCTATGGTTTTAATTTTCTAAAGACATTCTGAAATATCTTGGTTCATGGTTTACTAGTTGTAAGGCGAAGATAGTGTATAAGGTTAGGTTACTGTGTGTCGGCTTGATTTTGACGATCAAACAGTTATGCATCTTTTGAACATCTCTGCCTCTCACTACTACTGTCATTTTGCAGTGATATTAATATTCAACAAACTCCTTTGCTCATAGGATTTATTGTGAGACTGTAATAAAGAAATGAAAAGTATCATTTCTGTTTGCGCACTCCTTTAGTAGTGTTTTCTTGGACCGTACCACATAGCAATTTAAACAAAACTCAAGTGCGGACGAGCGGAGTTCATTGGTCAAATTAGCTGGCAACGATAAATAGAATATAACCTCTCTAAAGTGTTGTATGGTCCTCAACGCACTTTTCTGTCATGTAAGATGGTGTTCTCTTGTGGTTATAGTGTGTTAAATGTATAATTTGTGTCATATATCTTTTTCTTGTCAATTACTTGACTTGCTTGGTAACCTTACATCATTCAAAGGTAGTTGTTGTCTGCTTTTATGTCGGTATTTAGTAAGTTACTTTTCTTAAATGATTTGAGATTATTTAGTTTCTGTATTCAATTTACCACCAAGGAGTTTAACTGCGCATTGCAACATTATCATTTTTGTTTGCGTACGAAAATTATTTACTCTGATTGCAAGGATTATATTATCTTTATAAGTGAAATAGGCACACTTAGTCTTACTGCAGAGGAACACTTCTGAAGAATTGAACTAATTGAAATCATTATGTCAATGTTACGGGTAAAAATACGATGTTGACAACCTTATGAAGAGACGTTCGGTTGGATGTTGTGCAGAGGGTTTAGAACTCTTTTTTGGGGTTTCGAAGGCTCACTGCTCTTTTAATTACTCTGTGAAACAAAAGAGTAGTTCCTGTATTTCTGTGCCCTTTCTATCCATCATTTTATATTTTCCTACTCTGTGTTTGGAAAAGAAATAATCCCATTTCTACAATAGAAGTAATTATCCTGGTGTGTTAGCAATTTGACAGAATTCTTCCTTGTTAAGGAGAAGTGAAATCTTAGTGTTTGGAATTGGGAGGTGCTTCATTGGTTTACAATTATCAAGGGAGTAACAGAAGTATATGGTAAATTACAATGTCAGTTTTAGTTTCCATTAAAAATGAAGTAATTAATTTTCTTTTCAATTAGATTGATACAACTATCATTGAGGAGGATTTTCTCATTGCAACACACTTTTTTTTTGTCAAAGTCGTCTGTGGCACAGTTCCAGTTTAAAATACGCCAAAATAATTTTACTGTATAAAAATAATTACTTACAAGAAAAATAGTGGCATCCCTGTTTGAAGCCATGACTATTTACTCAGAAAAGGTAAAATACTTATATTTAGAAAATCTTTTTGTGACTGTTCAAGTTTATTTTAGTCCAGTGCAGAACTTAGATTGAAGTTCCACTTAAACTCTTGACATGACACTACATTCAATGTGTAAAATAGACAATATGTAAAAGGGACAGTTTGGGCACTTTCGTTCCTAAAATGGTCCCCTTACATTTAGTGTATGTATGATACCTTCTGAATTTTCATGGCGGATATGAGACACGTTTTGCAATAGAACGTACATGTAGTACGAGTGTGTGCAGCCCACGTTTTGACGTCATGATAAGGGGTGTACTGGTGGTGTGGTGGTGGTAAGGGGGGGGGGGGGGGTAAAGGCCGTCGAGGGCTAGGGTTTGAAGGCGACCGGGACGGGGTGGGATAGTAACTGGATTACTGGCGTGCCTGTGGCGGCCTGCGGCTGCCTGTGGCCACCCTGCCCTGCCGCCCCCGCCCTCCGCCGGGCCACCTTGGAGGCTTTGACGTTGTCGACGTGTTCCCGTCCGGTCCCGGCCCGGCCCGCGCGGTAAATGACCAACACAGTGGTCGGGCCCGGGCCGGCGGCCGGCGTCCCTTCCCTCGAGGCGCTGTTTACCGAGTGGTCCGTCGGGACGCCTCCGGGGTGGCCGTCGTGCCGACCTGCTGCGTGCCTCGCACGCGTCCCCCAGGATGATGCGTGCGCAGGGGACGGCGCCGTTCGGTTTGCCGGGGCTTGCGCCGCTGTCGAAGCGCAGGGCAGCGACTTCTGTCACATCGGGAATTATTTAGATTCGCGTAAGGGCACTGAGGGTCGGGGCGGGGCGGGCAAGGCAAGCAAACACTGCCCAGCCTGACTTCCCGAGCGCCGCCCCTCCCCCCCTCTCCGCCCTTCTTGAGCCCCTCTGGGCCTTCTCTCCGTGCGTCGCTGTGCGTCCACCACCGCCAGCCTGCCATTCCAATGCGAGCAAGCGAAGAATATACGCATTTGAATTTATCTTCCATAGCAACATTTTTTAGTTACCTTTGTTTTATTTTGGTGCGACTCGCAGAGAAAGATTCGGGGAATATTTCACGCGGGCTTTTGACTGAAGAGGTGTGCGAGCGAGTGCGACATTTACTTGAGAATCATCGTCATGACGTCGTCAGCGGTT